AATGATGAAATATAATGTATTATCCACCACGCCACGTTCGTCTTAAACTAACCACGAATACTTTGTAAGTCACGAATAATTAGTCCATCTACGCATCCGAGACTCCGAACTATTGGTCGAGACTCCGAACTATTGGTCGAGACTCCGAACTATTGGTCGAGAGACTGAACTATTGGTCGAGACTCCGAACTATTGGTCGAGACTCCGAACTATTGGTCGAGACTCTAAACTACTGGTCAAGAGTCCGAACAGCATATCTACCCATACAAGACGTTTCACTATCTCTTATGGGTTAGGTACAGTTTCGAACAGGGTGTAGTGATGGACTCTTTAAAATGTGACTGCCATAAAACAGCGTCAGTGTGGGCAGAAGTTGTATCATTGCTAGACGCTGCTGACTGCTCGGACTGGCACTTGTTTTTATGGTAAGGGGTTAAGTGGTAACGCCATTACACTGCCCTCTAGCGGACGACCCACATAGTAACTGAAGCTTGATGAGGAACGGAGAAACAATAATAGTTACTCAAGCTTAAATCGAGCATCCGTCACACCTCCCGTCCATCAGCCCAAGTATAACCTCAGCTTAACATAACCATTGGGAGTAGGACCCACTTACCTATTTAATTGGAACCAGCTAGTATTGCCACCCATCTGTAGGGCCCATTAGTGTTGAAACAATTAATACTGGGAACCCATTAGTAACTCGTACTACTTGGAAGGAACCCCTCAGTATTAGATGTCCCTTTAGTATTGGGGCCCATTGGAACTGGAGCCCATGTTACCTGGCCTCTCCAGAACCCAACGAACTGTGAAATTAACCTGACATACGCACGTTCCTCCCGCGGCCTTAGACTTAAACCATCCAAACCATCCAGTGCACTTCTCACTTATAAAAAAAAAACACCAATAATGATGATAATGATGAGAATGATGAGAATAATGATATACCTTGGACTAATTAAAGAAGGAAAAATGAAACTCGATAACGCCATCCTGTTTTCAATTTAATATTCCTTTGAAAGTTGTTAACCAAAGCCTTTGATATTAAGGTACAATATGTGATCAACGGATTTACACACCTGTTAGGTTTTTGTCCCCTGTAAATGTCCCTCTGTTAAATCCAATGGCTAAACTCCACATTATTTACACATCTGCTCCCTGAAACACCTTTATAAATACCTGTTAAATCACTAACACATCTGCTAAACTAATACCTAACACTCCCTCTTAAACACCTGTTAGATACCTGTTTAAAGCCCCTATTAAACCCCCTTTAACCACACCTGTTAGACCATGACACACCTGTATTTAACCCATTAATCAACCCCCTTTAAACCACACCTGCTAGACCATGACACACCTGTATAAAACCCATTAATCAACCCCCTTTAAACCACACCTGCTAGACCATGACACACCTGTATAAAACCCATTAATCAACCCCCTTTTAACCACACCTGTTAGACCATGTCACAGGTGTAAACAAACGCCCCCTCTAACCAGGTACTGTCACGTGACTCTGTGACTGTGTCCGTGGATGCTGTGGTTTACTATAAAATCTTCAGTCCAGTGCAAAGCGTGGTCACCGTGACGGACTACAGGTGACCCATCAGCAGCACCCACCACCACCTGCAGTACCTCTCACACTCACCTGGGGAGGGGGGCTCTTATTACATCTGGGGGCTCTCTCCTCACACCTGGGGGCTTTCTCCTCACACCTGGGGGCTCTCCTCTCTCTCGCACCTGGGAGGGGGCTCTTCTCTCACACCTGGGGGTTCTCTCCTTTCTCTCACACCTGGGGTTCTCTCTCTCTCTCTCACACCTGGGGAGGGCTCTTCTCACACCTGGGGGCTCTCTCTCCTCTCTCACACACCTGGGGGCTCTTCTCACACACCTGGGGGCTCTTCTCACACACCTGGGGGCTCTTCTCACACACCTGGGGGCTCTTCTCACACACCTGGGGGCTTTCCTTGTCCCTCTCTCCACACACACACACACACCTGGGAGTTACAGGTCATATCAGGACATGATCTAACTTAACCAAACCTAACATAACATAACCTAACCTAACCTAAGAGACCTTGTATTGAGAAAAACTTGTCCTGAAGTGACCTGACGCTCTTGGGGTCAACTTCGGCTGTCTCCTCCACACGTTGCACACTGTTATTGATGTTGCAGGGCCTCACCATTGGTCCTTGGCATGTTATTTGCATTGTTGCGTCGATGTTTAGACGTTATTGCAATGATAAGCCATGGAGCTCTGGATGGCATTGCAATAACGCCTTAACGTCCATTGGAGGTGTCGTTGCTGTGATATTGCATCGTTATTGCAAAGGCACACTGGTGTATTTTGAGTTGTTATTGCAATGATAGGCCTCGGATCATAAATTGTGATTGCATTTGGTATATCCACGTGATTCACCTGTGTCACACACTGTTTGCCTCACACATTGTTTACCTCACACAGTTTACCTCACACATTGTTTACCTGACACAGTTTACCTCACACATTGTTTACCTCACACAGTTTACCTCACATTGTTTACCTCACACAGTTTGCCTCACACATTGTTTACCTGACACAGTTTACCTCACACATTGTTTACCTGACACAGTTTACCTCACACATTGTTTACCTCACACAGTTTACCTCACATTGTTTACCTCACACAGTTTGCCTCACACATTGTTTACCTGACACAGTTTACCTCACACATTGTTTACCTGACACAATTTACCTCACACATTGTTTACCTCACCTGGTCAACCTATTCTCCCTATGCACCTTTAAAACTGACTCTGTTGATTTTAGAATAATGTAAAAAATAATAAATAACAGAAGACGCAGTAACAAATTCGTCCTCCAAATTCGTCCTCCAAATTCGTCCTCCAAATTCGTCCTCCAAATTCGTCCTCCAAATTCTTCCTCCAAATTCGTCCTCCAAATTCGTCCTCCAAATTCGTCCTCCAAATTCTTCCTCCAAATTCGTCCTCCAAATTCGTCCTCCAACCTTAAGTAACAATGAAAAATCAACACAGTCAATCCTCAAGGTACAACTTTAGTCTTGATTTCACACTCACGTAAATGAAAGAAGGAATTGAAAGCAGTATTGTCCATCACAGTATCGTTAGAGTTTGTGAATAATTAGTGTCGATAGATTTGTATAATACACTTAAAAAAAATTAAATAAAACACATATGCTAGATCCAGGTAACGGGATATCAATGTTTTCGATGTTCAGAATGTTCGGTTTTGTGTATATTGCGAGCTGTTTTCGATGTTCTGAATGTTTTGTATATGATTACGAGTTATTTTTTATGCTCAGAATGTTTTGTATATAATTACGAATTGTTTTCGATTTTCAGAATAATTTATTTATAATTGCGAGTTCTTTTCGATGTTCAGAATGTTTATATAGTTTTTTTTGCGCTAATATTTATTTATTTATTTATTATGTTTATATTATTGTAATTACCTTGAAGCCGGATCGTGTATTGGTAATGATTTGTAAGAACGCTACGTGACAGGTAACTGCATATACAAGTAGATAGATAGATAGATAGATATGATAAGGGTAGAGTGATAGATATATAGGTATTAAAATAGATAGATAGATAGATAGATATGTATATGTATGTTACGTGCATATGGTGTATTCATACCTGGAAATATACAGTATACATAATGGTCAATATATCCTTAAATACATAATAAAGTGCACTAGATGTTCCGCCTTATAATGAACAAACACTTAAGACATTGTTGGTTACGTAAATAAATGTAAATTGTAAAAAAATCATCATAATTTTCGAATATTTAGGGAGTTTCGGTCTGGATGTAACATTGGCCCACCTTGATTGTAAATAAACCGATGTTGATAAACGTACCACAACCGCATATTATTTTTATTTTGTACAATATATAATAAAAAAATTCGTTCACTAGCTATAAAATAATAATGTTTATATATAAGAAATTCTGATATATTTAATGGAAAGTATCGTTCACCAGTTATTAGCCAATCAGATTAAACTCCAGATATCTTCAAATGTCCAGGGATTTGGGGACACAACTATGTGGTAAACAATAACTATGTGGTAAACAATAGCCACAGAAACTACGTAAACAAGTAAACAAATGATCGTATTTAATATCGAATATTGATTTAAAGTATCGCACGAGTCCCTCCATTAATAGTTAAATGTAAAGACAAATGCTTATTTCATTTCCCGTTTTCTTTGACAGTTTCGAAGACCAAAAACCCGTTTTCTATAAAAGTATCGTAATTTAACAAAAAACCAAACAAATTAAAACTCAAAATATAACCTCAAAGTATAAAAGTAGATAAAAAAGTAGCAAAAACAATAACAGTATATTATTTTAACACACTAGAATGTGATGTCATAATCCAAAGAGTTAAGTGACACTATGACGTCATTGTTCTCAAACTGATGTCATAGTTCAATACTGTAGGTGAGAACATGACGTCATAGCCCACAAATTGACGTCATAATCCAAAACATTAGGTGAGAAAATGACGTCACAGCTCAGAAACTGACGTTATGGCGAGATTTATGACGTTTTAGCCCAATGTAGTAGGTACAAGGTGACGTCAGTCGGGTAGATAATGACATCATAGTGGAGAGATGTGGGGTAAAGGATGACGTCATAGCGGAGAGCAGGGTTGGTTAGGTTAGGTCCAAGAGGGTAAACAATGACGTCATGGTCCAGTACAATAGTTGACAATGTGACGTAATAGTGGAAGGTATATGACGTCATAGTGGCCGTGACGTCATGGCAGTGTATGACGTCATAATAGGCAAAACAGTAGAGGATGACGTCATAGTGGGTAGTATATGACGTCATAATGGGCAGTGTCAGACGTCAGAGCAGTGTCAGACGTCATAATGGGCAGTGTCAGACGTCATAATTGGCAGTGCATGAGGTCAGGTGAGGTCAGGTCAGGTCAGGTCACAGTGCTAGCGGGTTTGTCCCCCAGGTGCTGACTCACGACTCGGTGACCGTGGCTGTGGACGGCGTCATTTACTTCTCCGTCAAGGACGCTCTCAGGGTGGTTATTGCCGTGGCTGATTACAGGTAGTGGACAAACACACACTCACACACTCATACACTTACTAACGCACTCGTACATTTACTTACGCACTCATACACTTACTAACTTACGCACTCATACACTTACTAACTTACGCACTCATACACTTACTAACTTACGCACTCATACACTTACTAACTTACGCACTCATACACTTACTTACGCACTCATACACTTACTTACGCACTCAAACACTTACTAACTTATGCACTCATACACTTACGCACTCATACACTTACTAACTTACACACTCATACATTTACTTACGCACTCAAACACTTACTTACGCACTCATACACGTGCACACACTAATGCACACACTCACAGACATTCATAAACACTCAACACACTTACTTACACACTCATACACACACTCATACACACACTCATACACACACTCATACACACGAATATACGTCAAAAAGTCAGCTCGTTTTCATGTCTTAACGAGTATTCATTATACAAAGTGTCTCAGAAAAATGTATACACACCATCTGACGTAATGTATACACACCATCTGACGTAATGTATACACACCTTCTGACGTAATGTATACACACCTTCTGACGTAATGTATACACACCATCTGACGTAATGTATACACACCTTCTGACGTAATGTATACACACCATCTGACGTAATGTATACACACCCTCTGACGTAATGTATACACACCATCTGACGTAATGTATACACACCATCTGACGTAATGTATACACACCCTCTGACGTAATGTATACACACCATCTGACGTAATGTATACACACCATCTGACGTAATGTATACACACCCTCTGACGTAATGTATACACACCATCTGACGTAATGTATACACACCATCTGACGTAATGTATACACACCATCTGACGTATTATTTGGAGGCGAGGATCTGTATACTTCTCTCACACCAATATCCTCACTTGTAGGAGACCTAATCCTAACCTAACCCTAACCTAACCTAACCTAAACTAACCTAACCTAACCTAACCTAAACTAACCTAACCCTAACCTAATCCTAACCTAACCCTAACCTAACCCTAACCTAATCCTAACCTAACCCTAACCTAAACCTCACGTAATCCTAACGTAAATCTAACCTATTCGATATATTCACGTGATCTCCTCCCATATTTAATTGTTTGTTTACACTTTTCTGAGACACTTTTAAACGAATCTACACACTTTTCTGAGACACTTTTAAACGAATCTACACACTTTTCTGAGACACTTTTAAACGAATCTACACACTTTTCTGAGACACTTTTAAACGAATCTACACACTTTTCTGAGACACTTTTAAACGAATCTACACACTTTTCTAAGACACTTTTAAACGAATCTACACACTTTTCTGAGACACTTTTAAACGAGTCTACACACTTTTCTAAGACATTTTTAAACGAATCTACACACTTTTCTGAGACACTTTTAAACGAATCTACACACTTTTCTGAGACACTTTTAAACGAGTCTACACACTTTTCTAAGACACTTTTAAACGAATCTACACACTTTTCTGAGACACTTTTAAACGAATCTACACACTTTTCTGAGACACTTTTAAACGAGTCTACACACTTTTCTGAGACACTTTTAAACGAATCTACACACTTTTCTGAGACACTTTTAAACGAATCTACACACTTTTCACTTTTAAACGAATCTACACACTTTTCTGAGACACTTTTAAACGAATCTACACACTTTTCTAAGACACTTTTAAACGAATCTACACACTTTTCTGAGACACTTTTAAACGAATCTACACACTTTTCTGAGACATTTTTAAACGAATCTACACACTTTTCTAAGACACTTTTAAACGATCTACACACTTTTCTGAGACACTTTTAAACGAATCTACACACTTTTCTGAGACACTTTTAAACGAATCTACACACTTTTCTGAGACACTTTTAAACGAATCTACACACTTTTCTGAGACATTTTTAAACGAATCTACACACTTTTCTAAGACACTTTTAAACGAATCTACACACTTTTCTGAGACACTTTTAAACGAATCTACACACTTTTCTGAGACACTTTTAAACGAATCTACACACTTTTCTGAGACACTTTTAAACGAATCTACACACTTTTCTGAGACACTTTTAAACGAATCTACACACTTTTCTGAGACATTTTTAAACGAGTCTACACACTTTTCTGAGACACTTGTAAACGAATCTACACACTTTTCTAAGACACTTTTAAACGAGTCTACACACTTTTCTGAGACACTTTTAAACGAATCTACACACTTATCTGAGACACTTTTAAACGAATCTACACACTTTTCTAAGACACTTTTAAACGAATCTACACACTTTTCTGAGACACTTTTAAACGAATCTACACACTTTTCTAAGACACTTTTAAACGAATCTACACACTTTTCTGAGACACTTTTAAACGAATCTACACACTTTTCTGAGACACTTTTAAACGAATCTACACACTTTTCTGAGACACTTTTAAACGAGTCTACACACGGCATACACTCACGAGAAACGGTATTTGCACGGATTCCTTATCACTATGTTATCGTTTGGCTGTTTATATATTTTTTTTTTCTGAGCTGATCGGCTACTCAGATAGATACTTAAAGCCTCTATTCTGAATCAACGCGAATCATAAACTCATGTGACGTCATGGATTAATCTACCAATCACAGCGTATGGTGTTTCCTTGCCAAAGCTATTGTACGTGCTGATTGGTTAAGACAAATTCTTTGGATTATGTGTGGATTAGTTTTCCTAGTTTATTCTACCTGGTGATTAACTAACCTAACCTAACCCAACCTAAACTAACCTAATCTAACCTTTCCTAATCTAATCCCCACAGGTATGATTATAATTAGGGAGTTTAATAATCAGGTGAATTAAGCTAGGGGGGGGCTAATCCTCAGGTGATCCTACCACTTAAAATAAATAAAAAATAATCAGATATTTATTAAAAACTTTCGTAAAAATACCCACCTAAAAAGTATATATATCAGAATACAGGTTTAAGTAATTTCTAAAAGTTTATGGAAGAGTTTTTGCAATATTTCCTCGCATGCAGAATCTTGATATTGCAAATTGCATATGACCGATATTAAGTAAATATTATCATGTATAACGAGGTAGTTAAGTGATTGTATTTTTAACTTTTTCTACTAAAAGTATTAAATTATTACTTTCTGTCCCGATTCCTACCAGAACCAAAGTTTACTTATCGGATGTAGTGAAAAGTATATAGTACAGTATATATGTGTCTTAAGTTCTCTTTTACAAGTTGTAAGTTATCCAAGTTTGTTGTGTAAATTGTCCTTAGAAATTACTATATATGTAAATTGTGTAAAAAAAATACCTTATTTACGTAATTATTAACATTTACAGCTGGTGAACCGATTCTTCTCTCAATAACCAGCTAAGTGAATATTAAACCAATAAGAATCGGTAAATAATATCAAGAACTTTGTAATCGGAGGAAAATTTTACCCCCCAATTTACATGTTGGAGAGTTCGGATACGTATTGTAAATAACTTATTATTTTTCTTAAACGAGTCACTGGTATTGTTGGAATGGATGAAAAATGGAACTTAAAATCAACTATTATTATGCAAAAACTATTAAAAGGCAAAATTAAAAACTCGAAATTGGGTGAAAATCGAAATTGTTTTGTTTTTTGAATTCGTTTAATATAATATTATATCGAAAAATAAACCGATAATTAAAGCAAATAATAATACAAAAATTATAATAAAATAAATTGATTTGAATTCTTGTTTGTCGGATTAAATTTGTTTCAGTAGACATTAGCCATTGGTGAAATACACGGCTGAATTTTGTCTGATTTAGCTTGTGACGAAATACCCCCTGTTAGATGTACATGTCTTTATCCTTCCTTCCTTCCTTCCTTTACTCCCTCCTTCCTTCCTTCCTTCCTTCCTTCCTTCCTTCCCTTATTCCTTCATTCATTCCTCCTTTCCCTTACTCCTTCCTTCCTTCTTTCTTTCCTTCTTTCCTTCCTTCCTTCCTTTACCCCTTCCTTCATTCCTCTTTTCCCTTCCTTCTCCCAGTCCCTCCCTCCCTCACTCACTCCTTCATTCACTATCTCATTCACTCCCTCCTTCCCTCCACCTCTCCCTCCTTCCCTCCCTCTCTCCCTCCTTCCCTCTCTTACTTACTCCCTCCATCCCTCCCTCTTCCCCTCCCACATGATCAAAATAAAACCCCAAATCCCTTCAAAAAATAAAATCCCTACAAATCATCCCCCAAATCCCTTCCTCCTAAAACAAAATCCTAAAATCCCCAAATCCCTCAACCTCCTCCTTATGTCTTTAAACCTTCTTAATAAACTATACAGTGTGACCTGTTTTGACCTTTGACCCTGTGACGTCATCCTCCTAACAACTGAAATACGTGGGTTAATTTCACTAACATTTTGGGTTAATATTATGTTAACTATTTAATTATGTCTTTAATTTGGTTAATATTTATTCTACTTATTATTTTTTTTCGTTGTTTTTGTTAATATTTTTGTTGTAATTTAGTTTACATGTTGTTGTTAATCTATATATACTTTATTTACATATATCTATATATATATATATACCTTTTACACACGTATGTAAATGATTGAATTAACTTGTATTTACATTTTGAAGTGGATTTGTAAGTAAAATGTGTAAATAAAGAGATAATTATGTAAATGATTATGATGACATATTTCAGTTGTTGGTTTTGTAATTTAATGAAGGAATTAAGAAAGGTTTTGGCGGCAAGGTCACCTGTATAACACCTGTATTGATTACCTGGGGAATTGTGCCTGTCTTTCCCCCCCTTTCCCCCTTGTTTCCTCTTTCTCTAAGAGTGATTTTTATTTCATCTTCATTTCCCTCTTCATGCGGTTTTTTAGTCAGTTTATCTTCTTCCTTCTTTTACCTCCTCCTCTTTCTCCTCCTTTTCGTCCCCTTACACCTCCTCCTCCTCCTCCT